GCGCCCGGCTAAAGAGGTAACTTTTTCAAACGACCATACATCCTATGCTGTGACCACAGTAGCTCTGGTGGGGATGGTTTTAGTCTTTTTGCCTAATTGATTACAGTTATATTTCTAAACTGGTGTCCTTTTATGATGGCATCGTCAATAAGCAGCTCTGACAAATGAAGATCATTTGTAATAGTGATAATTAGGGGAATGCTCCTGAGAAGGAATATGGGTAGTTAGTAGTAATCATATGTTCCACCCAGGCTTTGGGGGAAGTGTTAAAAGGAAGTCAAGATATTGAAGAAGCATCATTTTGCAGAGTCAGTGCAATTGTAACCTGGTCTGTGATTTCAGAGAATCAAAGCCTTCCTGCCTAAGAACCACCTGCCTAGTAGTCACTCATCTTCTACACTCCTCTAAAATGTGACAGCCCTGCTCTTTTTGCCTGCTGTCATCCACATAAGATGTAACTTTCTCCTTTTGCCATCTGCCATGATTGTGAGACCTCTCCAGCCAGATGGAACCGAAGTGGAGTCTCTGGAGCCGCCCAGCAGCAGCCTCATTACTCAGAAGATGCTGACGAAAACCTAGACGGGAAGAAAGGAAGAAAAAGCGTCCTCTATGTTTATAAAGTGAGCATGTTGGTCCTATTTATAAATATATGTATGATATGTAAGCTTTTTTAAAACAAAGCTCAAATTGTTGGTATTTTTCTAAAATGTGCACAGCTGTATTTTACATGAAGGCTCTTTCTAATGGGTTGTTATACTGTACTCAACATTTTGGACAGCACATGAAGTCTGCCAATGTACTTCATAAAACATGACTTTGTTTATTTAAAGTTTCTTGCTGTGAAAAAGAACTCCCTACCTGTGAGTTCCTTTATTTATAATTCTTGAAACCAAAATGTGTAATGTACAGTTTTCACAACTGTATCTGCTCTAATAAAAAAAAGTTGGTTATAAGAAAAAAAAAAAAAGAAAGAAAAAGCATCCTGACTGGTACATTAGCAAAGGCACAGCCCTGGAGGGCAAGGAGAGGGGCAGGGCAGGCAACAGTGCCCATGGCATGCATCTGCAGCTTGTGAGCAATGCATGAAAACAAGAATCATAAAACAGCATTGCCTTCAGCATCCATGTGTTTATGGCTGTCATGGGGAGCATGATAGAGGAGGGTGGATTAACACTAGCTCGCAGGCTGCCTAACCTGGAAGTCAGTCTCTGCCTTTAGACCTGCTCACTTCTTTTGAGAATGGAGATATCCACTGATCCTTTGTCCTACAACCTCAATTAATGTCTTTGTAGCAGCCATCTGTTAAATTCAAGAAGGCCCTGGAACAACTTAATTGGAAAAGTTTCCCTCTTATCCCTTGAAAAACCATAGAAAAACAATGTCACACAAATGTTCAACTTCTGATTTCTACAATTTCAGATACCAGGGTTTATCTGTTGCCATGACAACTAAGAGCTTTATAAATATTTTTCTAGCCTCTGCTTGCTATTTTCTGGAAATTATCTGCATTTCAATATTTGCTTAACGATTTTGAGCTGACACTAGTAACATAATTGTGTCTGGATTGTGTATGTGGTGTGTGTTGGTGGGGGTGGGTGTAATTGTTGTCTTTGTTTTTCAATGTGAGCAATTTTTAATAAACTTTAATATTTAATGTGCAAAAAAAAAAAGTTACAGCCCTTTCCACTTCGCAGACAAAAAGCTTAAAATGCCATTTTCTAGTGGACGCATGACTTCCTGAGAGTTGGTCTGGTGAAAAGAAGCCAGCTGGAGGGTGATTGGGTGATTCTACCCACTGCAGGTTGGGTGGATGACAGAGTAGACAGGAGATGTTTGAAATTCTCAAAATTAACGTCATCTATTTTTTTCCAACTTTGTATTTGGCTCACATAAGCTGAAGCATATTTTTAGTTCTTAGAAACTTTATTCTCTTACGAGAATTATCTTCTAATCAGGGAACCAAATAGTAAAATTATGCTGAATGCTTGCATTGACAGGAAACAGAATTTTAAGATAAATGTCAGCTCTCTGGACATTGTCTACATGATGCTTTTCTTTCTCTTCTCTGTGGACACGCAGGTGTCACTGGTGACTGAAATGGCATCCTCTCTGAAGATCTGGGGCAGTCCCTTGGCCCTGCTTTGCATTCTTTGCAGGCTGCTTGTACATAGCAAGGACGTTTCCTGGAAAGAATTCATGACACTGCACTACTTAGATCCAAGCCGAGATTTTGAAGACTGCAAATGTGATGCCCTCATGAGAGAAAAAGCAGTTCTGAAAGACAAGAGCTCTTATATGTCCATCTATAGCTTATGGCACAAAATGGAGTGTATATGCATTATTGAAGTGGGAATAACTGATGTAGAAATGCCTATGTATGGGCCCAGGATGCCATCAAAGTACTCGAGTGTCAGTGGGAGAAGTACAACAATAACTACACAGCGAGCTTCAACTACATTGAATTCCACTGTTGCAAGGATGGGTATGTTGATAGCATAGGAGACCTGAGGATGGTGGAGCCTGTCAACAACTAGAAGATCTATGCACATCCTCAGGAATTGGTATTCAGTGCTTCCCAAGTGGTGGCCACTGCCTCCATCAATAGCCCCTGACATTGCACTTATGTGTCAGTGTTTTCCAAAACTTAGAATTATGAGTCGCATGACTTCTTGATACCATAACCTTGCCTGTGTTGTTTCTCTGCCTGGAATACACTTTTGTCTTCATTTACCTAGTTTATTCCTACACATTTGTCAAGCTTCAGCTTGTAATGCATCTGATGTTTGATAACCAAGATTTTTCCTGATATTCACTCTAAACCTACCCAGGGTGAATGATCTTCCCTTCCCTAAATAAATTGTATTATCCAATATGTGTGACATTCTACATATGATATATGTAAAGTAATTGTTGTGTAATTGGTATGGGTGTGTGAGATCTAGGCTATGTTGGCCTATGACTTAGGCTGTGCAAGGAGTTTAAGGCATATTTTATGTGGCTGTGTCTCTGCAAGTGATACGTTTGTGTGTATCATGAGGATGTAAATGATTATAGGCTAAGCTAGAGACAAATTGTGATGTAGACACCAGTTTTGGGCTGGGTTTGGTGGCTCACACCTATAACCCCAGGACTTTGGGAGGCTGAGGCGAACAGATCACTTGAGGTCAGGAGTTCGAGACCAGCCTGGCCAACATGGCGAAACTCCATCTCTACTAAAAATACAAAAAAATCAGTGGGGGGTGGTGGTGTGCACCTGTAATCCTGAGTTGATAGAATCAAAAAGGTCATAATCCAGTTTTAATGATTTTATTAAAGTGAAAAGAGAGGAAGGCCACTCTGTGACATACAGACTCCAGAGAAGGTTCAGTTTTTGCTTATGTAGGAAAAAGACAAAGAAATTAAAAAGGAATTCAATATTTTCTGTACCAGGCTGGTTCAAGAGTTACAACAAATTAATTAGTTACAGATTTGTCCCCAGCCCCATGACTTGTTTTCATTTATTCGTAGCTGTGCTTCATTTCTGTTCCAATTTTAAAAGAGCATATTTAACATTCCATCCCAAGACAATGTGATAGCAATGAAATCTTTCCATAAAAAACAGAAGAGGGCATCCATCCAATGAAGATCAGTCAGCGGAGTGCAAACAAGTGTTCCCTGGCCCCCTTTAGTCATTTTACATTTCACACAACAGTGCAGGCAAGAAAGGGTCTCTAATCAGAGAAACCAAGGTACACCTGCCTTGGTTACAGCTGCCTAGTACGTGACTCAGGTCCCATCATCGTTTTTTTTTTTTCTTTGAGACAGAGTCTCATTCTGTTGCCCAGGCTGGAGTGCAGTGGCCAGATCTAGGCTCACTGCAACCTCCGCCTCCGGGGTTCAAGTGATTCTCCTGCCTCAGCTTCCCGCGTAGCTGGAATTACAGGAGCGCGTCACCACACCCGGCTAATTTTTGTATTTTTAGTGGAAACTGGGTTTTAGTGGAAACTGGGTTTCACCACATTGGCCAGGCTGGTCTCGGACTCCCAACCTCAGGTGATCTGCCCGCCTCAGCCTCCCAAAGTGCTGGGATTTACAGGCGTGAGCCACCACGCTTGGCCCATCATCACTTCTTTTTAAGTTTCAAAATAATATAGAGTTCCAACAGCTTAGATTTTGAATTACTTACTTTCATGGTGGTAACATACTTAGTTCCACTCAGATTCTTGGGTAAAGGCAGAGCTGACTGGGTATAAAACACGTGGCATAGTTCCTGGCTTATGGTAGTTGCTCAGTAAAAATTCTTTCCTTTCTCATATTACTCTTTGGTTTTCTACTTTAATTTTGACTTCGATAAACAAATATAACAAGTGCCCATCAACCATTTCTGTCCCTGACTCTCGAGATGAGGATTTCTTTTATTTTTTATTTTTTAAATTTTTTTGAGAGAGTCTCACTCTGTCACCCAGGCTGGAGTGCAGTGGCGCAATTTCACCTCACTGCAACCTCCGCCTGCTGGGTTCAAGTGATTCTCCTGCTTCAGCCTCTCCGGTAGCTGGGATTATAGGCGTGAGCCACCATGCCTGGCTAATTTTTGGTATTTTTAGTACAGACGAGGTTTTGTCATGTTGCCAAGACTGATCTCAAACTCCTGAGCTCAGGGAATCTGCCTGCCTTGGCCTCACAAAGTGCTAGGATTATAGGCGCGAGCCACCATGCCTGGCCTAGAGATGGGAATTTCTTTCTTTCTTTTTTTTTTTTTGAGACAGAGTTTAGCCCTTATTGCCCAGGCTGGAGTGCAATGGTGCAATCTCAGCTCACTGCAACTTCTGCCTCCCGGGTTCAAGCGATTCTCCGACCTTAGCCTCTGAGTAACTCAGGATTACAGGTGCACACCACCACCCCCCACTGATTTTTTTGTATTTTTAGTAGAGATGGAGTTTCGCCATGTTGGCCAGGCTGGTCTCGAACTCCTGACCTCAAGTGATCTGTCCGCCTCAGCCTCCCAAAGTCCTGGGGTTACAGGTGTGAGCCACCAAACCCAGCACAAAACTGGTGGAGGTGCGGGAGAGTAAACTGGGGACCTCGTACATGCCGGGGATTTCTAATGCAAAACTACAGCAGGCTGTCATCTGTATGGAAGCTATACACACGCAGGATGAGAAAGAACATCTCCTCTATCAACCACACACTCAGATGTCTCTACTAGACTCAATTCCTTAAGAATGTTTCTAAGAAGTTCAATGCATGTTAGACGGGCTAAGGCATTACATTTCCTAAGGATGACACATCAAGTAGAAGATATTAGCACAAATGATTTTATCTGATAATAAACACGTTCGCTTGGCAGAAACATAGGGTGGAGGTTGGAGGACTTCAAAATACAATGGTTCTCAACAGTGGACTTAAGACCTAAATTTTGTTCATGGAATGAATGAAAAAGGAGATAGAAAGAAATGTTGGGTTCACAGGCAGGTAGGAACCATGTGAAATTCTGTTTGCTAACTGTAGGAGAGAGATACAAAGTAAGGAATGCTTGCTTCATGTAATTTTGCCTAGGTCCACTATGGGGAGGAAAAGTGCTAAACATTAAAGTATCTTGTGTTCTTCAGTCTCCTGCAATGTTGAATGGCTCTGGCCTTGAAACAATTAGAGAAAAGACTGAAGTATCAACATTATTTATGAAGTGACTGCACCTTTTTTTAGAACTCTGGTCTCGATGAGGAGTCAGTGTATCTACATCGGTCATCATGTTCCTATTGCAGTTCCTCAGCTTTGCAATTTTTAAGTGCACCTAAGGAGGAGCGGACACCTGGGGATGACAATCTCTACTAACCAAACTCAGAAGAGATTAGTATCAAACCAGTAGCAAGGCTGGGTGTGGTGGCTCACGCCTGTAATCCTAGCACTTTAGGAGGCCAAGGCAGGTGGATCACGGAGTCAAGAGATTGAGACCATCCTGGCCAACATGGTGAAACCTCATCTCTACAAAAATACAAAAATTAGTTGGACGTGGTGGCACGCATCTGTAGTCCCAGCTACTCAGGAGGCTGAGGCAGAAGAATTGCTTGAACTCAGGAGGCGGAGATTGCAGTGAGTCGAGATTGCGCCATTGCACTCCAGTCTGACGACAGAGTGAAACTCTGTCTCAAAAAAGAAAAAACAAAAAAGAAAACCAGTAGCTCCTCCTCAATGGTCAATTTACACATGGGGAAAAATACTAATTATTTTTCTTGTTTGATAAATGTTCTTTAAAATATAGTGTAAGAGAGGAAAACATTTGCCTTCTACCCTTTTAGGATCTTAGCTGGGGCCCCTAAAAGAAAAGTCAGATTAACAAGAAAAAAACAAACAGAAATGTGGTAACATGTGTATCTCATGTATACATGGGAGAAGCTCAGACAGTAACTCAAAGAGGTAGCTAAAAGTTGGGCTTAAATGCCGTCTTCAGCTAAAGCAAAGGAAAATGCATGTGGGGAACAAGTCATAGGGAGATGACCAGGAAAAGTATAGTAAATGAGGGAAAGTTTGGTCACGCAGATTTTAGTATCTTCTCCACTGAGAAGGGTCTTTTGTGATTTAGAGTCACCTTTCTCTATCTGGCACGAGAAGGAGACATCCATAAGAATGGAGGTTTCCCTTATGAATGCACATTACCCTTACAAAAGGCCAACGCATACTCTATTTTCAGAGCTTGTCTTGTGTATACTGTTTTTCAAAATAAGCACTTCAAAATAATCTTTACGTTACAGAGCATACCTTGTGGTGGCATATTCTGATCTCCTATAGTAGATTCTCACAAATTTCTCATGTAAGTAGCTCTTTAAAAGTTGCTTTTACTAAAGGGTAAGCAGATGGTAATTCAAAACAGTATAGGAGGAAAGTGCATTTAAGGGCAATTAGTATATTAGGGTTGTATATCAGTGGAACGTGAAACTGATACAGAAATGAATGAATATGCAGCTCTCCAAATCAGGGATAAATATCAGAGCTTTATAAGCTCTAGCTTTCCTGATTTCCATCCCTTATTTGGATAGTTGCATATTAATTTCCTTAGGGACCTATCTTCCTCTTTTGTGGACCTTATTGGTAAGGCTGTCCACTAAGGTTTGCAGTCCCCTCTGCTAAGTCAAGCAATTGCCATGAGATCCGAGCTAGGCTAACTGAACTTTCTTTTGTAGGAAATACATATATGGCACCCTAAAATATGCCTCGATACAAAGTCCTGTCAATTAGTGTTTGTGTAGCTCTGCATCCTCACCAGCTTTGGTGATGTCAGTTTGTACTGCATTTCAGCCATTGAAATAGATGTGTAGCATTATCACATCTATTGTGTTAATTTGTAATTCTCTAATGATAGTGATACAATGAAATGATTAACAGCTCGTCAAAGTAGGAAGAATTATAATTACACATTAATCATAGCATGGTGGTCCACTTGGAGCAGCTTCCCTGCAGCTGCTAACTAACCAAGGGTCACGTAGCATGCTGACCACATGCTCCCCCATTATTTCTATAGGTAGAAACTCACAAACAAGAATCATGGGTCTTTTTTGCTCAAGAATTGCTTCAGGCATTTCAGATTCTGAACTCTAGTGGAGAGGTTGACACCAACCAGTCTAAAGACCCCACCATGCAACAGGCTCAGAAGAATGCACCTTTGGCACCTCTCTGTCCCAAGGCTGCACTCCTCACTTCTCAATGAATCAAAAATCCCTACACTTCAGCTGCTGTCCAGATCCCTCACAAACCCTACCTTAAACCTCTTGGGGAGGTGGATTTGACTTTTCCTCCCATCTCCTTGTCTGACTGTCATAAAAATATGACACTATTTCTCTGCTACTATCACCATTATCTCAGTATGTTGACTTACTGGGCATAAGGCAATGAATCTATTATGGTTAAAGTTTAGTGGAGAGCTAGCCTGGAGGCTCCTCATGGGCATTTGTCCATGGTTCGGTACTCTCTTGCTGCTGTGGCAAACCTGGAGATTCACCGAAGTATCTGGAGTCTTTCTTGCCAGCATGGCACTGCCAACCTTCAGCTCAGGCTCACCTGCAAGGGAGAAATGGTTGCCAGAATGGGAAAACATCTCTGGTGAGTGTTCCAACATCCTCTTTTCCTTCTCCTGATCTGCTGGCCTTCTTAGAGGTCCTGTCACCTCTTTGGAGGCCCTGTTGTCCCTCCTTCATAAAGGGCCCTGCTCAAGGACATTTTTACCAATTAGAAGGAGCACAAGGGCAGTGTACAGCGGAACTATTCCACTCTATGGGCTCTATGGGTTTCAGTTCTGAAATCTGTTTGTTTTGTTTTGTTTTGTTTGTTTGTTTTATAAACAGAGTCTCGCTCTGTCACTGAGGCTGGAATGCAGTGGTACAATCTCGGCTCACTGCTGTTGGCTCTCCCTCCTTCACCTGGTGAAGGAGCTAGGGCCAGGCCACCAGCACTTGACCAAGAGGCCAGGAATGACGAGATGCAGGAATGGCTTCCTCTTCTCACACCTGTCAGAGGACCTAATTTGGCGAAGGAACCACTTTAGCTCCAGCAGGACAATTTTCCCTTCAACAATTACCTATAGGAGGCATTGACGCTGATATAGGGCAACCCATGGGGCTCATTTGGGTACACTCTCCATTCTCTATTTCTGATTTATTAAATTTGAAAAATAGTGTTGCTACCTATTGAGATGATCCAAAGCCAATGGAAAATTTGTTCTCTTC